GAACGTAAAACGTCGATACTTTAAAATATCCCCATAGAGTGGTCCAACTAGAGCTAGTGTGTGTTAATTATGTATGCAATGTACCTGGAACTCCGTAGAGTGGTGACTATTTTGTCTAAATCTTACGACAAATGCCTCGCCTAGATATACCTAAACAAATCACAAAATGGTAACATATCAAGAAATAGAGACAGACACACACACGCGCGCGCCTGCCCCACCCCAAGTGATCCTCCTATGAGGAGAGAATTGAAACACGAATGCAAGAAAAAGGACAGTCTGCAATTCTTATTCTATATATATATATATATCTTAGCCATCTCTTTGCTTATTGGAAAGTGAAGGAATCTCTGGATTTTTTGTTTTTATTCGATCAGATTTCACGATAAAACTCACTTGGAGGAATGGCCAAAACATCAATTGTTTTGCTGGCACGAGTGTGACATTATTTACAGTGGTAATTCATAATGGTTAGATATCGTCGTGGTTTCTTTATAGTGACTTTTAATGCTTTCCATTCATCATGGCTTCTACCGACAACATTTACAACAATTTTTCTTATTGTTATATATTGGAAAAATTATTGAAGTACACTAGTAATTGGGTTTACGTGCAAAATATTTTAACATGAGAACGTGGGGTTGAAAATGAATACGTGAAAAAAAGAAAAAGTTTAAAAATAATGGTTGTTAAATAGGAGTTTAATATTTGTAATTGAATATGATTAGACAAGTTTTCGACTATAGACGAAACTCGAGTAAAATAGCAATACATACAAAAATAGTCTTTCCCTATTGAATATTGAACTCAATCGACACATGTAAATGACAATAATGAGTTGAATGCATATTGAAATATAATTTGTTTGTCACACAATTCACTGAAAACTGAGTGTTTGATGGGTAGTGAGTCAGCCAACATAGTAACATGGGGAGTGTTTCTATCCAATTCTTTTACAGTCCACAACCAAATTTCCCCAGGGGATTTGGCACTGAATAGGACACAACTCCCAGTTTATCACATATAAAATGTCAATGAACCGTTTCTCTTCAGATTTTCCAGATATCCAGAGGGCACAACAACAGCAACACATGATGGAATTCCCAGCCGCAAAAATCTCATCTTCAAAGCACAAAAACGAAAATTCCATGTTTCAGCCTCAATCGTACCCACCACAGAACACCATGTTTTGCAACCAAAACGCTGCTAATTTTAGCTTCGATTTGAACAATGAAGACGATGAAGAGCTCGACGAGAAAGAAAGAGAAGGCCAATTATACCATGAACATGAAATTTCTAAAGAACCCTTGTTCGAAAAACCATTGACTCCAAGTGATGTGGGCAAGCTGAACCGTCTTGTTATCCCTAAACAACACGCAGAAAAATACTTTCCGTTAAACGGTGGTGATTCGGGTGAAAAGGGGATGATTCTAAGCTTCGAGGACGAGCTTGGAAAATCATGGAGATTTCGGTTTTCTTATTGGAACAGTAGCCAAAGCTATGTGCTCACAAAAGGATGGAGCCGTTTCGTTAAGGAAAAAAGACTTGATGCTGGCGATATTGTTCATTTCCAGCGCCATAGGACTGACTCTGGCAGAGTTTTCATCGGTTGGAGGCGGAGGAATGGCGGCGCAGTTCAAGATAGTGGTGTTGCTCAGCCACCTACGGTGTCTGCTGGTGGTGGTCATGGTGGGTGGACCAGGGTATGCAACTCTGGATATCCTTATCCATCACACCCTCAAGGGCCTTCTCTCCCATTCCTACCTAACCGTCATGCAGGTATTTTGTTCTTTTCACTACATTACACGAACCCTATCTTATTTTTGTCTTTTCCCGACTATTATTTGGTATTTTTGAATCAATCGGGACGCAAAATAAATTCACGTTCGTCCAAGCATGGATCGTGTCAAAGTGAAAGGATCGAGAGCGTATCCTTACAAAATATGCGAAACATGCAAGTTTTTGCAGGATCTAGAATACAGAACCAAACAACAGTACCAAGTGGGAACTCGAGGAAATTAAGGTTGTTTGGGGTGAATTTGGAGTTTGAATCTGAGCCATCAACACCTGAGGATGGTAACGATGGTTCATCGATTTCGAGCCAGGGTCAAGCCCCTCAGTACCAATTTCATCCGTGTAATTACTCCAATCACAATCACAATCACATGGTACGTCAAATCTTTTATTAACTTTAGACTAAAAATAGGTTAAAGATGTGACTGCTACAATTTCGTAGTTTGATTTTGCTGTTTCAAGTAATGAAACAGATAAAAATAAGGGGAATTTAAAAAAATGGCTAATTACATGTTTGTCAATTGAAAAGTGTCTAATTTTGATAACTCTTACAAAAATGGTCAAATTTAGTATTGAATTATCTATTATACCCTTAATGAAAATTGAAGCAATTATTTTTTGCTTCAATTTGTCACGAATTTCGGGAAGAAGAAATAGCTGCCATGAGAACTACATTAAAATTACGCTCTCGATATTTTAAAAGTTATCGATAATTGAACTCAATTTATCTTGATACTTCATTTATGTAGAACGAGATTTCATTTCAAAAATGAGAGTTCTTTACATTTGAAATGTAGTTCTCGATATTTTAAACATGTGTCAATGAGAAAGATAATAGTTTATTATGATTTGATATGTGTACTTTTAAAATAAGCAGAGTATGTTATTTGTCAAAATTTTATTGACCAACAAAATATCTAATTGTATGCACATATTTGACTTTAGTATGAAATTATAAATTATTAGCAAAGGTATTTTGGTATAAATTTACCTCCGTTTGGTAATCATTTTTCTACAAAAAAATACATTTTTTGTGTCAAATCACACCCTTTTTGTGTCTCTTTCCAAACATGGACCCCACTTGATGTGAAAGAAAAAATGTATTATTTGCAAAATGGACATTGAACAAATTTTGGACATTTTTACAAATGACAATATGAAAGTGGACATTTCTTGTAATTTTCTCAAAAATCAGTTTAAATGATGAATAGTAATTGATCTTACAAAAATATCTGAATAATAATTGAGTAGTAGATACAAGTTGAATTAATGTTCGATTTTGATTAGATTAATAAATTAATTTATATATTTATTCAAACTAGGCTTAATTTTGATGTTAACATGGTCATGAATGTTAGGATTACAACTTGAAACACAAAAATGGTCACTTCATGTGTATTCCACTGTATGACTGCAACAGGATATAGATTCTTCAGGAGATATCAACCAATAAGATATCGCCGCGTATGACATCTGTGGATGTGACTTCCTGGATGAGCTGATTCCCAAGGTGCAAAAAAGAGACAACAAAAAAAAAAGGGAAATCCCAGATTTTCTGGCAAAAGAAAAAGTCGTATTTCAATCAATCGAAGGGAAACTTGAAAGAGACTTGATCAGGGCTTGGGAAATGGAGATGTGTCCCACTAGGTATCGGTGCCGACATTATCAGGTACCTAGATGAATTAAAGCATATTGTACAACCAGCTTGACAACCTTTGAGATGTTCGAAATTGACGTTGTTCATTGTTGATTTGAATAAGTGAAAATCAATGATAAAATTATGTACCACGTCAAAGAGTGTAAATAAAGCTATCAATTATGTGGCAAAATTGACTCCAAATGGATCAAGAACTTTGGATTGTACAAACATGTTAGCATTTACTATTGTAGAGATTATGCATCAAGATTTTTCTCAAGGCATCATCATCATCGAAAAAACACCACAATAAAGATACGAAAAGTTAAACGTGTTTTTACAATGGCTTATTAGCACAAAATGTCTCTATGTTTGGTTTTTAGTTTGCAAAACACCCATATATTTTAATTTTTTTGTATTTCCACCTTTATTTCCACGTTTCATTGCGGAAAATATCGTTTTTTTTCTCAATTTTCATCAATTTTTTCTATAAAAACTGTGAAATGAAAAATATACCATCTTATTTAAAATGAAAAATCAACCAAAAATGTAGTTGGTCGCATGAACACACACTGCCTTTCTTGATCAATTTCAGCGCCGACAGTAGTTCCTACCGTCGCAGACCATCCGGTCTCATCACATCACTACGCACATGCTACAACAATGGCCCTCCATCAACAATGGGCTTCTGAAAATTTCTTGAGTGTGTGAAATTTTCCGACGAATATTGATCATGAAAATGGCTACGCAAGCCAATTTGAAAAAGAAAGACTACCCTCATTTGGAAAAACACAGAAAACCAGATTCAAGAAAACTGAGATTTATTAAATATATATCCACCAATGGATTTGTCCGAAAAATTGATTTGTTTGCTCCCTCGTGTTGTTGGCAACATTCACCAGATTTTGGAAAAAATATATCCCAAATGAAGTAGAAACCTAGCTACACGAACCATGAGAAAAATGAGAATCAAGGGGAGCAAATTCCTAAATTAAAGTATATTGCTGAGAAGGAAAGCAAGGGGCTGGAATCTTCATTTTTCGGAAGCAGCACCGAAGCCAGTCCACCAACAAAAAACAATTTGCATCAACAAACGGCTGAGCCTCCGAGCTATTGTTGCAAGTAGCTGCTACCACGGTTAGATGAGTAATTTCGGCATCCAAGGAGTGCTACATCTTCATGTTCTCCACATTTATGGCAACGAATTTTGTCAAAAAGAAACAAAAATGATACAAACTTTTCCAAGTTTAGGAAACGGTTATCTATGTTTTGAGTTGTTGTGGGGATGAGAGAAGATGATGAAGTTTTTTTTTTTTGATTATTCGTTTGGGACTCATTTGTAATTTTTGAAAATTTTGGGCATGTGATTGCAATTAGTTCTTTATTATTTTCTTCTCGTTTTATTTAAATAAGAGGGTATATTTGTCATTTCATATATTTTTATAGAGAAAATTGATGAAAATTATGTTTTCAGCAATGAAACGTGAACATACGAGTGAAAATGCAAAAAATTGAAACGTAGTGACATTTTGCATATTAAAGGCCAAACATATAGACGTTTTGTACTGATAAGCATTTTTATGATCATACCATGAAAAAATTGTCTGTAATCATACGAGAAAAGATTGTAATCAACGTTGATAAGTTCAATTCCAAATCAAATTTAGACTCTATTACTTGTTTTTTGAGAGTGAGGATGAACACCCTTGATCATCAATGGTTATAGAGTTTACACGTGGGAGGTTTACAAGCTTGTACATTCACAGCCACACATTTTGACAAGCAACGAAGTAAGATCGAGGACTAACGATCACATCATCACTACATGTTGCAATAGTAGAATTTGACACAATTGGCCTGTGGACTAAACCAACAAAAAGAAGCACGGAAATGCAACAGTATTATCTGAATGGTCACTCAGAATTTCATGCTCTTGTGTGGATGGGACCCAGAAAGATTATAAGAAAAGATAGATATCCATTGACCTGACTTAGTGCTTCTGCAACCGCAAGTGGGAAGATATATACCCAATAATCCGCTTCTTTTTAGTCCATAGGCTTGTGGGTTTAGTCCATAGTCATCAATCAGCATGGGACTGGACTTAAGAACAGTCCATTCACGGCGCCTTTGCTAGCCCAAATTTTGTAATGGGCCGATCAAGCCTGGTCTGGACAAGCATAACTCTTTTCTCTTTATACAAGCATATCTGCTTTCTAAGTCCATGTTTGTCCATGCTTATAATTGATAATTATAAGTAGTGGATCTTCAAAAGTGTGAGCTTAAAAATTAGATAAAAAACGTGAACTCTTCAAAATATGTGGATAAAACTAAAGTTTGACCAAATCAAATCATAAACATTAACAAACATAGGCTGAGTCATGCAACTCCCATGCCAACTGTATATTAGCATGTCGTTAGGGGTAACACCTTGACAATCGTGCAAGAGAGTGACTAGAGTTGAAACAGAATATAAGTTTAGTAAAAATATATTTTACCCAGAAAATAGACATCCACAGAAATTTTCTTCTCGATTCCCCAATAAGA